TGTAGTACCATTAAGGACTACTTGTTGAGTATTGTTTGTCAGCCGGCTACAAATCCATCTGGGGGTGATGTTGTCTAGCCTGACTAGGTGGCTCAGTGGCTAAGACACTGAGCTTGTCAATCAGAAAGGTCTGCAGTTCGGCGGTTCGAATCCCTAGTACAGGTCTCCTGTGTGAGCAGGGGGACTAGATGACCTCCAAGGTCCCTTCCAACTCTGTTACTGTTACTGAATATTCCACATTTTTCTAGTTTACCAAGTAGTAGGTTGTGATCTACTTTGTCAAATGCTTTACTGAAATCTAAATATATTATGTCCACAGCATTTCACTGCTCTACTAATTTAGTCACTTTATCACAGAGAAAAATAAGATTGGTTTGGCATGATCTGTTTTTAACAAACTCATGCTGGCTACTAGTTATAACCTTATTTGTTTCTAGATGTTTGCAGATTTGTTTTTTTCATTATTTTTTCCAGGATCTTCCTAGGTATTGATGTTAGGCTGATTGGTCTATAGTTTCCTGGGTCTGGTGTTTTTTTTTTTTTCCTTTTCTTTCTTGAAGATGGGAATCACATCAGCCCTTTTCTAATCCTCAAATACTTCCCCGATGCTTCAGAATTTTTGAAAGTTATGGTACAATGGTTCTGATCATCACTGCAGATACAGCATCATCACATTTGCTAATAATCAGTACATATCTGTAACTTGACAGGCTAAAGGGTTTGTATAAAAAGGAGCAAGACCTTTGACTGTTAATTATTTCCTGCACATTACTTGGCACTTTTTTGACATGTAGGCAATGAAAAAAGAAGTATACCTCTTCCCATGATAGGGAAGAGGTATATTTATTGCTTTTCTGTCAGCTGTGCTACTGGGAAATATATGGGGCCTCCATTAATATGGCTACAGTTAAAACACAGTTCTGATACCAGCTATCCCATTGTCCAGCCCTTGTTGACCCCAATAGCATTCAGAGTATTCTGGTATAGAATGGCTTGGAATGTCAAGTCAGGAGAAAACTCCCTGAATATGGTGTTTTTCATTAATGTTTCTCCATTTCTTTTCTGTCTGGATTATGATCCAGAAAATATTTTAGGGCTAAAGCATGCCTAAATATTGCATAGTGATGCTAAACAGATGAGACCTCAGAATAGTGGCTCTGCTGCTTCCTTCTGTTTTTCTCCTTGTTCTAGGTGAGGATTGCTAATTGTTCAGCTAATGGTTCAAAAGAATAGAGCACTGAGACATTGTCATAAATGCTGATTTTGTCTCTTGCTCACATCACTCCACCATCCACAGAGATAATAGCTTCAGAGTGGGTGAGGTTTGTATCAGGCACAGAACAGAAAATAAACCTAGTATATCCTCTTCTAGAGAACCAGAGCCAATTGTCTGAGCTGCACAAGGGTTAGGAAACAATTGCTCACATCAGTCCCTCCTGCTTCTCCATTACTTCTTTTTGCAGGATATTCTTTTTTATATTTAATCATCAGGGATAAAACATTACTGATATGCAACTTAACAGACAACTGACCCTGGCAACTACTGACCCAAGGAAATGGTTGCTTATTGAATCCTGTTGGGACATGTGCTACCAATGATGTCATTCAGTCCTCAACCATAAGAAAACCAAATCAGAAAGGAAGGAGAGAGGGAGACAGAGAAACTTGCATCTCTGTGGCAAGAAAAAATATTTAACTGGAACAGTTTTCTATATCTGCTGTACTTCACTGGGGTTTTTAATAATTTCTGGATTTGTATTTTCAATAGCAGTATGTCAGGCCACAACCGCTTCAGAGCAAAGCACATAACCCATTCAGTATTCTAGCTCTGATAAACTGCATCCAGAGAAGACAGAAAAAACCCTGCAGTCCATGAGATACAGATGTTTTCCTCAAGGCATGGTTTTATTTCTACTTCTTCCCTTTTCTCCAATTTCTAGTACTTCTGCAGCAGTAGAATCTCCCCTTGTTCCTACATGGCCTGTCTACAAACATAATAAAAAGTAAACTAGTGATAAACCAAACGTTTCTTCTATAGTATGTACAACAGCATTTTTGGTATTTGTCATATATATTGGAACTTTAACAGATTAACACAGATGGAAGGGACCTTGTAGGCCATCTAGTCCAACCCCCCATCCAAGCATTTCTGACAAATGGTGGGCCAATCTCTTCTTGAAAGCCTCCAGTGATGAAGCTCCCACAACTTCCGAAGACAAGCTGTTCCATTGGTTGATTGTTCTCACTCTCAGGAAATTTCTCCCTATTTCTACGTTGAATCTCTCCTTTATCAGTTTCCATCCATTATTCCTTGTCTGACCTTGGAAAATAGCTTGCCTCCTTCCTCTCTGTGACAGCCCCTCAAATACTGGAACATTGCTAACATGTCTCCCCTGGTCCTTCTCTTCACTAGACTGGCCATGCCTAGTTCCTGTAACCGTTCTTCATATGTTTTAGTCTCCAGTCCCCTGATCATCCTGGTTGCTGTTCTCTGCACTTTTTCTAGAGTCTCAACATCTTTTTTTATAGTGTGGTGACCAAAACTGGATTCAGTAGGTATGGTCTTATTAAGGCTTTGAGTTGTATCAGTACCTCACTAGATGTTGATTGTATCCCTCTGTTAATGCAATTTAGGATTGCATTGGCTTTTTTGGCTGCCGTCGCACATTGCTGCCTCATATTTAACTGGTTGTGCACTAAGACTCCAAGATTGCTCTCACAATTACTGCTATTACTGCTACAATTACTGGTTTCACACAGTCTATATGTGTACTTTTGGTTTTTCTTGCCTAAATGTAAGACTTTACTTTTCTCTACATTGAATTTCATTTTGTTAGATAGGGCCCAATGTTCAAGTCTGTCAAGATCCATCTGGATCTTGAGCCTATCTTCTAAGGTGTTAGCTATTCCTGCCAGTTTAGTATCATCTTCAAATTTGGTGAGTTCCCCTTCTATTCCCCTCATCTAAGTCATTTATGAAGATATTGAAGAGTACTGGGCCTAAGACGGAATTTTGTGGTACCTCACTGTTTACTTCCCTCCATGTAGACATAGACCCATTAACGACTACTCATTGAATAGTTCGTATTGAACCAGTTACGAATCCATCTGGTAGTGATGCTATCTATCCCACTTTTTTTAGCTTACCAAGAAGTAGGTTGTAGTCTACCTTGTCGAATACCTTGCTGAAGTCCAATTATATTATGTCCACAGCATTTTGCTGGTCTACTAATTTAGTCACTATGTTGAAGAATTAAATAAAATTGGTTTGGCATGATCTGTTTTTAACAAACCCATGCTGACTACTAGCTATTACTTTACTTGTTTCTAGATGTTGGCAGGTCTGTTTTTTCATTATCTTGTCCAGTATCTTCCCGGGTACTGATGTTAGGCTGATTGATCTGTAGTTTCCTGGGTCTGGTTTGTTTTTTCAGTTTTTTTTTTCTTTAACACCAAGAATTCCTACATCCATGTCTACATGCGATCCTAGGTTGGTAGTAGCAAAATATACAGAAAGCATCAATTGGAAAGGTCTAATATATACACGAAGTCAGAAACTATATTGTCACATTTTGGAAGGAGCATGTCAAGAACAAAAATATATTTCTTCTTTTAAGAACCATAAAGGGCAGAAGTCTGACATATTTTGCCTATATTAATTTTTATGTAGTTTAATCACAATTCTTTCATTAACATTATTGTTGAATGCTTCGGTGACCTCTGTGGTTAGAAACACATGCTATCAGCTGAGGTATGTAATTCCTTGAGAAAGATAGTTTGGCCACATTATCCTTCACATCATCATTAGTATTACTATTAGACAAGCTGTCCTTTTGATGGATTTGGAAGGTACAGCTAGTGCAAAATATAGCACCTAGGTCAGTGATTGAGGTTTTGTTCTGCAGATATGTTATACTATACTGCTCAAAAAAATAAAGGGAACACAAGCAGAAGACATCTGAGATCTGAATGAATGAAATAGCCTTATTAAATACTTCGTTCTTTGCCTACAGTAGTTTATACACTGCTCAAACAACTAAAGGGAACACAAAACTACTGTATGTAACAAACAAAGTATTTAATAAGGCTATTTCATTCATTCAGATCTCGGATGTCTTCTGCTTGTGTTCCCTTTATTTTTTTGAGCAGTGTATGTTAGAAGGTATGCTTTGGCTGGTAGTATGCTACCAAACTGTATTTAAGATGCTGGGATTAATATACAAAGCTGAGGTGTGCTGAGGTGTTTCTATGGTGGAATTTCACTCCATTCCACTGAGACCAAGCGTAAATTCACTTTTTTAATACATTAAAATTCATGCAAGCTTTTTAAAGCATCCCCCCTACAATGTCCCTATTTTTCCCATTGCATTCTCTAAAAAATAAAACTCAAATCAATAATTCCAAACTTAAAAATATAATTGAAATCTGCATTCTGTTCTGATAAAACCTACAGTCAGTAAATTCACATTTAATAAACTTTAAACTTTATTTTAAAAATGAGATTAACAGATTAAGTCATGATTCAATTTATTAAATAATAAAGAACAGTAAAGAATCCACTGTATTTTAGAATAACTGGCATTAGAAAGCTGTTCTGATATATAGCAATCCTAATACCTTCTTTAATTCAGCAGGAAACTTTTCGTGCGTTATGATCTGCTGATTCCATTTCTCTAGCTAACTTCAAATTATGCCAATTGTACCACTTTTTTTAAAAAAATCATATTTTGGTGGCCATAAACCTGCTAGGCCTGCCTTTTTCTGCAATGGGCACAAAACATTTATAGATTTAAATAGCTATATTCATATTCACATTCACTGGCACTTTCTTCTGCTTCATTCTCTTCTAAACATCAGGCTCCAGATCTTATATCATATATGAGATTTTAAGTGATGCTGCTGTTCCGCTTTTACACTAATTTTTACAGCTTCCCCATATTTTTAACAGTAATTGTTTGAATTGCAGATTTGTTTCCACCTAGCAAGCAAGAAACAGAACAACTTGTCCAGCTCTTTATTTATTTTTTTCTTTGAAGATCATCACAATAATCAACTCTTCACAGATCTCTTCCTTTCTAACAAATACTTGAGGGTCATCTTGATTCCAAGGGGGATCAGGCCATACAATTCTGAAAAGAAAAAACAACCTTGAGGATACCTGGATTTGGGGACTTCACAAGGCAAATTAATATAGGAAAATGTCCTATGGATGCCCAGTTTTGTATATAGTCAACCTATATATGTTGAGGGGTTATTGTATTAGTTCTTGAAGTATGAATAAATTCACAAAACAAACAAATATGTTCTCCATTCTTCCATATAGGACTATTTAAAAGTATGTGGAAAAGTCACAATATTCTCAAAGAAAGTCTGTCCTTTCGGACAAAAAAGCTTAAAACGTTTTCTTTAGAAGCCAGAGTCTTCCATTAGCAACACAAAATACAATGTTTAGTCTCTAAGCACATTCAGAGGCAGATGTCATATATACATACTATTGTGACCTAAGCAGATGGCTGAGCAGATTCAGCTCCTATTCATCCAGCTGCACCCTTTTTTGTTTGTGTAACTGCCCTTACTGGCTTCCTGTCATAAGGTCAAACAAGTAATTCTTTTACTGTATTTTACAACTCCAGTTCTAGTTTCTGGTCTACAGTAATTCATATTCAGTTACGAGAACTAGAAACATATCATGAGAAAGTAAATGTTCTCAGGGGACTGAGAATATTTCTGGTGTGGCTATCAGATTCTACTATTCTAAATTTGATTAAGTGGTTAATATTGTTCATTTCATTTGTATTTCAAAAGAAGCACTTTCAACTCTTTCAGTCACTAACAAAAAGTTAACACAGTTAATATATCAGAAGGACAGCAATCTCTACTAAATCAGATTTTCCCACTCTTACATTTTCTAATATCTATGCTAAAAACAAAACTCTGCTCCCTATTACCAATTCATGTGGTAAGATCAGTTAATACACAAAGCATTCATTTTGTATCATAGAATCCAACTTGTACCAAGGATGCCTTTGTAATCACTGGATCTGCATTATAGTGAATTAATTGAGCCAATTTGGCCCTGAACATTTAAAAAAAATTGAAGAACTAGTTCTTAGAGGGAGAGAATTCAATAAATCTTTCCCTTAATTTTGCAGAATAAGTAGTGCATTTCTTGAGGAATCCAATTTGGCACATAAGGATGTTAGCATACCCACAGATACTTCCCTTGACATCTGTCACCATCAAGTGTTTTTTTCCCATTAAATATCTGTTTACATTTTTAAAATGGAAGCTGGCATGCCTACACAGCAAAGGCAGTTTCCTGTATTACTTTTATTTCCAAAAATGCCGCTAATTCCACCATAAATTGTCTTAGAAAATTGCAGCCCAGGGATTTCAAACTATGCCTAGCTCCTCAGAAACCTTCCCGGATTGAGAAGCCCTTCTTACAGTCACATCACCTTGGTCACCTCACAGATGGATGACTGCAATGAGCTCTACACAAGATATTCTTAAAACCTTTTTGAGGTACAGCTGGCACAGAATACAGTGGCAAAAGTAGTGGTGTATGGGCCACCCTATGCCTATGCAACACCACTGCTCCGTGAGCAGCACTGGATAAAAGTGGGCTTTCGAATACAATTTAAGATGTCAGTTGTCACCCTGGAAGGTCTATGTAGCGTAGGACCTTAGGGACTGCCCGCCTGTAGCATAGATATTTGACGGACTGCCTGTCTCTTCTGGTTATAGCCTACCCAATAAAATCTGGCACAGTTGGCTCTCGGCTTGTCCTGCCAGTTAAACAATGCTAATTAGGAGGACCTGGGAGACAGACCTATCACAGCACCTCTATCACAGCACCTGCCCTCTGGAATAGCACCACCCCATAATTTCAATGGCTCCCACCTTTGAGCCTTTTAAAAAGATGACACCAAGCTGGCAGGAATAGCCAACACCCAGAAGAAAAAGCTCAGGATCCAAAAAGATCTTGACAGACTTGAACCATGGGCCCGATCCAACAAAATGAAATTTAATGTAGAGAAAAGCAAGGTTTTACACCTGGGCAGGAAAAACCAAAGTTACAAGTACAAAACCTGGCTCAAAACCTGGCTCAAAAATAGTAACTGTGAGAAGGACCTTGGAGTCCTAGTGGACGATCACTTAAACATGAGTTAGTAGTGTACGGCAACAGCCAAAACAGCTAATACAATTCTTGGTTGTATAAACAGAGGCATAGAATCAAAATAATGTGAAGTATTAGTACTGCTTTATAAAACCTTACTAAGACCACACCTGGAATACTGCATCCAGTTTTGGTCACTACATTACAAAAAAGATGTTTAGACTTTGGAAAAAATGCAAAGAGCAGCAACTAATATGATTAAAGGCCTGGACATTAAAACATATGAAGAACAGTTGCAGGATTTGGGTTTGGCTTAGTCTAGACAAAAGAAGAGAGAGGGAGAGGGAGAGGGACAGAGACAGAGATAAACGTAAACATGGAGAACATTTCTGAAGGGGACAGAATAGGAGGCAGACCACACATTGCAAAATCAGTGGTGTGAAGCAACAGGGAGGGCAGGGAGGAAGGACCAAGTCCGGTGCCCCCGGAGTCTCTGTGCAACCTGTCTAAGTTCCTTGGAGCCTTATCTAATATAACAAGTAGTTAGCTTGAACTCTGCATGTATGAGTCTGGTTGTTCATGCTTGACAATCAGCACTTTGTCATTAATTAATTAATCTCCCATAATTCCTATACATTAAATGGGCAATCATTTTATGAGATTGTCCACAATGGTTTCAAAGTAGCAAAAAGTACCCAAAGATTTAGATCCTATTACCTTTATCAGTGAGAGAAAGAAAATGTGCTTATTAAGTTGCTGTCTTCTTGAATTACTTTCTCCAAATACCTTCCCAAAGTAGCCACTATTTCCCTGTTTAGAATCTTTGATAGATGTGCAGGGAGGAGACATAAGGAGCCCCATTTTAGCCCAGCATTTAACAGCATTTAGAGGAAATAAAATGTTTTCTCAAAATCATTTATTCACCCTGCTACAGTTACTAATGATTTCTTTTTTGCTGTTAAGATAAAATCCTTATTGTTTTATGAAACGCTGGTTATGTTAAGCAATTTTAGATTTATATTGTACCTTGAGCAAATCCTAACATAACAATTTAGAAACGACAGAAAGGCAAAAACTTCAGTCTTAGACTGTGAAAAATAATCAGTTTCTACCAAAGCTTATCTTCAACAAGGAAATGTTTTGAAAACTTCTTTGATATCAATCTTTTAAAAAAACTTATACAACCAATTTTCTAGAAAATATGCTTAAATCAGCTTTCAATTTCAATCAAATATATGAGAATAAAAAGAACAAAAGTACAGTGCAGTAAAACCATAAAAATGTCTAAAGAAATTACATATAAGCATATAAGCAGCAAAAGCATAGAGATAATTAAGAATTGTTTATAGGTCTGCTGGAAAGTGTGTGTGTGTGTTTGTGTATGTGTGCGTGTGTGTGTGTGTGTGTGTGTATACAGAGCTAAGAAATGGTGGGTCTAACCTGATCTCCCTAGCAAAACTAGTATAACTCTTGGGTGAAAAATATCTGTCCCAATGTTTTCCCCTTCACAGTACTTCAGACAGGGGCAGCTAAAGCTGGGTCTTGTAGAGGAAGGATTCACTTCTTGAAATATGCTGCAATTTATGTAGTAACAACCAATTGGTCAACTGACATCAGTAATTTAATCACAAACTACTGTTATTCATGTGTAAATTAAAAAAAAGAGGGGCACATAGGATAAAGTAATAAAGTTATTAGAAAATGCCAGAATGATCTAAGTCTTGCCCTCTGGTATGCATTTTAAAAAATGTCTATTGGTTCATTTTTTTGACTTTGCTTATCCATTCATGTATCAGAGCTGTGCAAATCAGATCGTGTTTAGACCACCAGGAACTATCCATTCATCAGCAGTCAAAAATATTTTTTATTTATTTATTAAATTTATATGCCTTTTTATATTTTTAAATATTTTTTAAATATTCTAATTTGAGTCTGGAGGAAGGCTGTACTGGGCAGGAGAATAAGGAACTAAAAAGCTTGAACAATTGGCTCACAATTTTTTCCAATTATGAATTATGGTAAGTCCAGTAGGCTGAACCAATCAACCCAGTTAAAAAAAAACTACATTGTCTTGAATGGGCTATCAGTCTGAATCAATAAATATTGTGAAAACCCATACCTTAAGCTTCCACCCTAAGCTTCTCTTGTACAAACGTCTTTCAAATCAATTTGGCTGTAAATAGGGGCTGCTGAGCATCTCCCAGATAATTCTAAGGTAATGCCATCTTATATCATTAGGTTCTGCACCTCAAGAAAGAAGTCAAGGCACGGTGCCTCCTGCTTCTTCCATCAGGATCCTTAGTACAAAAGCTTGCTTTTCAAGAAGCAGCTTGGTGCAGTCCAAGCCCCCCTATGTAAGGATTTTCAGAGCATCGTCACTCACCCTGCAAGCAGGGGATGAAAGAGAGGGGGAGAGTGAGTCTATTTGAAAGCACATTCTAACCAGACCTAATAAGTTAATGCAGAAATCTTCCCATTGAGGCTGTCTATTGGAGACACTAGTCTCCCCTGAATCAAGAACTGCTATGTTGTAATATAATAGATGTAAATTAAAACAGAAAATCTATCATGCCTCTAATGTTGTCTGATAGCTGAGAGTCTGGATCCGTAAAAGGAGAGGCACAGCAAGAAAGGGTGATATATGGCAAAGCTGGATAGAGGGTGAAAAGCGTGGCGAGACAAGCGGGAGAATGCCGCAGCCTGCTCTCGCTCCTCGGACCCAAGGGCAAGAGAGGAATAAATGTTGATTAGTGTTGATTTTGTCCGACACGTGCTTGCCGAGTGACAGTTGGACTAAGCAGCTCTGATAGAGAACCATTAATCTTGGTCTGGTTTAAGTAGAGTATATTAATTTGTGTCATTTTTACTAAGTCGTACTGAGAAAGGCTTTTACTGCTTTGCATTTGACTGCTTTGGTGGTTTAGCCTCCTTTCTCTCTACCCATTTCACCCTTCCTTTTTCTCCTCCCCCCCCCCCCCAAAAAAAAAACAGATCCTGCATTGGTGGCAGCAGCAGTAACACCACCACCATATTCAAATGACACAGCAGGAGGCCAGGAGACCTAGAGCTCCTCACTTGGATTAAGAAAATAAACTCCCAGGGTGTTGGCATAGCAACAGCATTTCAGATGAACTCTATATAAGGCAATGATTAATAAATTAACATTTTTATCCTGTTCTTTTCTTCTTCTTCCTCCTCCTCTCCTTGGAACCATAGAAAGCATTTATTCAGAACAGGGCAGGAAAGAAGGAGAGGTTAGAGAAATGGGTGCTGTTTGACCTACCTGGAGGGGCTTCAGTTTGATACTGCTCAAAAACACATCTAGCAAAATTGCACTCTGCAACTCTGTTGTTGAATTTTAACTGGTGCATACTGTTAGTTACTCACTTACCAAGATTGCATGCTGCAGGAATCAAAGGCTCTCTCCCACTAAAGTATTCTAAAAACTAATGGCACAGTATGTCTGCTTCTTACCTTCAGCCAAATCTAGGATAAATATAAACTATGATAGTGCTCGAGGTAGGAACCCCGGATAATTGCCAGTTATTTATGAGCCCTATTTTGAATATGATAATAAATACATACATGCTACATGTAGCATGTAGTTTAGATCACAGCCTCAGATTTGTTAACTTAGTAGTTAGTGCAAGTAAAAAAATAGTCTCAGACATTGTTGGTCTCGCAAATCTTAACTGCATCCTTATTTAAGCTGCTTCCTTAAAAAAATGAAGCAGATAATATTATAAAATAAAGAACATAAAATAGAGTGCTCCTTTTTACTTTTGGGAAACACTACTGAAATAAACATTACCAGAAATTCTCTAATAATGCGGGAGCATGTAAATTTAAAAATAATTTGATCTTTGACTGGAAATAAATAAGCTTAAAACAATGACTATAATTATAAAGAAAGAAAGCATGCACCTTAACAAAACAAGAGGCACAGCTATGCATTCACAAGTATTAGTTGGAGTGGGAAGAGAAAATGAACTCGGGTGGACAGGTGAAAACCAAAAAATTAGCCTTCCGTAGCTTAATTTATAAAGAATTTGGGAAATGTTTGCCATGAGATTTAAAAAACCCTTTCTGCACTATACAATATGTACAGTGGTGGTATTCAGCCGGTTTGGACTGGTTCGGATGAACCGGTAGTGGCACCCCCACCCACCTGCCCAACCACCCCGGCACTATACTGTCCTATTTAGCCACGTGTTCTAAGCCACATGCGCATTCAACCCGCGTGCGTGAGCAAACCGTGTGCACAAGCAAACTGTGTGTGTGAGCAAAGCGCATGTGTGGAAGGGATGGGCGCATGCATGGAAGTTGTGCAAGTGAGCAAAGTGAGCGTTCACGCACGTTCACATTTTCGGTGCACAGCGAACCAGTGGTAAAATTATGTGAAACCCACCTCTGAATATGTAGCAGCTATACATGAAGAACCTTTTTTCACATCAAAGGATTTGGACAGCCATATTCATCAGAGATGTTTCAAGAGGGAAAGGAAATCAGAATTTCATTTTTTCTTGAAGACTGCCTTCACTGTCCAAATATTCTCACAGCATAGACCAGCAGAAAAGTATTCTCCTTTTTGACACCTTTTTATGAAACAGCTACAAAACAGTATTCTTGGGTGTTCTTCTACCAGGAAGTTAATGCCATATTCAAAAGTATTAGAAACTGTCACATTTGGACCGGACCACAGACACTGCTTCCCAAGAGCCTATATCCAAATATAGGCCATCCACAAACAAGATCAAAGTAGACTCACTACCATATCCTGAACAAAAACCATAATAATCTTACAAAATCATAAATATAACAGAATAACAGAATAGGAAGGGTCCTTGGAGATTTTCTAGTCCAACCCTCTGCTTAGGCAGGAAACCCTACACCACTTCAGACAAATGGTTATCCAACATCTTCTTAAAACTTCCAGTGTTGGAGCAGTGTTGTTCCACTGATTAATTGTTCTAACTGTCAGGAAATTTCTCCTTAGTTCTAGGTTGCTTCTCTCCTTGATTAGTTTTCACCCATTGCTTCTTGACCTGCCTTCAGGTGCTTTGGAGAATAGCTTGACTCCCTCTTCTTTGTGGCAGCCCTTGAAACATTAGAACACTGCTATCATGTCATCCCTAGTCTTTCTTTTCATTAAACTAGACATACCCAGTTCCTGCAGCCGTTCTTCATATGTTTTAGCCTCCAGTCCCCTAATCATCTTCGTTGCTCTTCTCTGCGTTCTTTCTAGAGTCTCCACATCTTTTTTACATAGTGACCAAAACTGGATGCAGTATTCCAAGTGTGGCCTTACCAAGGCATTATAATGTGGTATTAACACTTCACGTGATCTTGATTCTATCCCTCTGTTTCTGCAGCCTAGAACTGTATTGACTTTTTTGGCAGCTGCTGCACACTGCTGGCTCATATTTAAATGGTTGTCCATTAGGACTACAAGATGCCTCTCACAATTAGTACTATTGAGCGAGGTACCACATATACTGTACCTGTGCATTTTGTTTTTCTTGCCTAAATGTAGAACCTTACCTTTTTTCACCACTGATTTTTTTTAGCACCCAATGTTCAAGTCTGTCAAGATTTTTCTGTATCTTAAGCCTATCTTCTGGAGTGTTAGCTATTCCTGCTAGCTTGGTGCCATCTGCAAATTTGATGAGTTCCCCATCTATCCCCTCATCCAAATCATTGATGAAAATGTTGAAGAGTACTGGGCCTACCCCACTGCATACTTCCCTCCATTTAGATGCAGTTCCATTGAGTGCAGATGGTCAGCCAGTTATGAATCCAGTTCCAGTGAAAGTGCAAAGGTTCACCCAGGAACCAATGGGACTGGCAGCCTTCCCTAAACTACTCAACAAGCCTCAGCAAACATAAAGAGAATTTGAGATTTAAAAAGCAATATTGGACTAATATACTGCACTGACCTTTCATATTGTCATGTCAGAAACAGAAATGTGAAGCCCTCCAACAAGGAGAAGCCTAATCTGGGATAGGGATAATTTATAGAAGCATGAATAACAATTGGATGGCAGAAATTTTAAATATGGATTTCACCTATAGAAAACCTTGAGCCATTTAGAACTGTCATTTACTATTGACATTATTTAAATATTCAATTTGTTTTGCTTCATGCAAGTGCTAATGGCATCCTATTAGAGATCCTGATTGTTACAAGCTTAATGAAACATCAAGATTTGTCAGTAATCCCTATTGTCGTATTGATAGAAATTAACATTCTGAGAATTTTCCTCACTTTGTGTAACTCTTGTAAGATGCTTTGCAATTCATGTCATTTGTCTTTCAAATAGTGAAGCAGGCTAAATTAATACTTAATTTCTTATTTTTCTACATAAGCCAACTCCAGCCATGTGTTCACCAGATGTAGTTGGGCTTACAAATCCCAGGATTTCCAGCCACTTATAGCACCAATGCATCTGGACTCTACTGATCACAGAAGGCTGAATTCCTTGGTAATTCTCGAATGGATCAAGGCAGGAAAAGCAATGCCAAAATACAGATGTTGTAGGATCCTTACTCTTTTTAAAGTATGCTTGGTCACCATAATATAAAAAAGACGCTGGACTCTGGAAAGAGTGCAGAGAAGAGCCACAACAAAGATGATTAGAAGACTGGAGGGTAAAACATGAAGAACAGTTGCAGGAATTGGGTAATCTAGTGAAAAAAAGGACTAGGGGTGACATGATAGCAATACAGATAGTCCTCGACTTATGACCACAAGTGAGCCCAAATTTCTGTTGTTAAGTGTTGTGATACATTTGTTAAGTGAATTTTGCCCCATTTTATGACCTTTCTTGCCACAGTTGTTAACTGAATCACTGCAGAATCACTGCAGTTGATAAGTTAGTAACCCAGTTGCTAAGTGAATCTGGCTTCCCTATTTACTTTGCTTATGAGAAGGTTGCAAAAGGGGATACAAATAGCAATAGCACTTAGACTGCTTCATAGTGCTTTACAACTCTAAGTGGTTTACAGAGTCAGCATATTGCCCCCAACAATCTGGGTCCTTATTTTAGTGACCTCAGAAGGATTAAGTCAAGGTTAAGTCAACCTTGAGTCGGTCAGGATCGAACTGCTGGCAGTCGGCAGAGTTAGCCTGCAATACTGCATTCACACTACTGTGTGACCACAGCTCTAGGTGACCATGGGCCACAGCAAAGGTCATAAATATGAGCCAGCTGCCAAGCATTTGAATTTTGATCACATGATCAGGGGTTTGCTGCAAAGGTCATAACTATGAAAAATGGTCATAAGTCATATTTTTTGGTGCTGTTCTGACTTCAAATGGTCACTAAATGAACTGTTGAGGACTACCTGTATTCCAATATTTGAGAGACTGCCACAAAGAAGAGGAGGCCCACCTATTCTCCAAAGCATCATAAGGCAAGTCAAGAAGAAATTGATGGAAACTAACGATGACTCCCCCAGACGCTTCCCCAAATACCTCTCCAGATGTCAGCTCATCAACCAGTTCTGCGCATGTCAGGAGGGGATGGCTCCAAGCAGTTGTCTGAGAGTGATTTGGCTGAAGCACAGCTGCAGCAGGACAGCCCTGAGATTTAAGATGAGGAAAGCATGCAGCTGCAACTGATCAGCAATGAGGAAGAGGAACTGCCTTTTTCATCTGATCCAAGAACAGGGCAGAGAAAAGGAAGAAGCAGCTAAGGCCTGCCTGATTACTCGTGAGGAGGCAGCTGCGCTCCTCTTGATGGACTGTGGATTGTGTCTCTTCAGATGTTGACCGTTGCCTTTGCCTGTGGACTCACCTTTGTCTTGGAACTTCAAATGATTCAATTTGAAACAAAAAATAGAAACATCAATTGTTGAAGTATAATTAATGTAGTAGCTCTTCATTTTTGTCTATGAAGGCGAAACAGGCAAAATATTACACTGAAAATTGGAGAATCTGTCATAGTTGTAGTAAACAAAGAACAATGTGTTTTGGGCTGTATAATGTCTAACAGATGCAGAATGCAGTAATTTAAAAAACAACAACTGAAAACAATGGGAGCAACCTAAATACATATTTTGCCACATGGGAATAGAGCCTAATCAATCTCACTTTCAGAATCTGAATTATTCAAAATACTTTACTGGCAGGTTCTATTTTTCATCCGTTATAATTTTTATGAACTTCAAAAACTTGCCTTATTCACCTTTGCACAGTCTTATTTATTTTCTGATTTGGTGTATTTCTTCCACATCTTAGCATGTGGAATTTTAAATGTAAATATTAGAAAATTTCATCAAATATTGTTTGATTTTCATTTTTTCCCCTTGGTTTTCATAGTTCCAACTGCCATTTTTATCTTCTGCCAATATCCACAAGGTGTAGTGAGGCCAAGAGGCATTCTTGAAATTAAAAATTGTGCTAGAACTAACATTTTCTATCATGCCCGCTTCCCATTTAATTTTATTTAATTTTTAAAAGTTATTTTAAAAAGTAGAGTTTGGACAGATTAGCAAGCACCAAAGCCAATGTCAGGGGATACATTTGAGTGCACTGAGGATTCAAATGCTATAAAGTTGGTAGCACTAGTAATAAAAGCTTAGCCATTATGAAGGCACATGCCAAGCCCCTTCAAAGTGTAAGATATGGTAAATAAATATTTTGTACTGATCTATGACTCCTGTTTCCAAGCACTGCCCTTGCCTTCCAGATGCTTTTTTCTCTTGAAAAACTAGGACTTTTCTCTGTTTTAGGAAACAGTAATAACTTTATAACTTCATCAACCCTTATTTATATACATCCTGGTAGAGAAAAACAAAGACTATTTTGTTTGATATGCTCAGATATGCAAGACTGAAGAGTCAAGAATGATTGTGGACATCAAAAGTGAACAATCAAAAATATATGTTTACTTTGACACAAATATGTGGTAATATAGTATTTACAAAAACACAAGCAGCTTGAGCAAATGTTGACTATCCATCAAGTTGCATTTCTGCACAAATAATTTCCATTACTTAATGGCATCTCAATAATGGATTGCAGCTTAATAAAACAGAAAAGAAGCACTAAAAAAATGCAGAGAAATGGGAAAGGTATGAAGAACATAAAATACAAATGGTGACTCAAATGACAGAGGAGGTACAGAAGCAGAAGAAAGCAACCAGGAAGAAATTGGGGGTTGGCAATCATTCATCCATTTACTTCAACTTTACAGCTATTCTTTAATTAGAGCTAGCCAATCTTCCTTAGAGGCAGAAAGATAACTTTATATCCATTGACTTGCTATTTCAAATTCCAAGAAGCAATAAATAGATCCTAGTATGGTCAAACTAGAATGCACCCCTAAAATTGTAAGGGTTTTTTGCAGGCAATCCCATATATATCTGAGTACAGCATGGCATTAAAAGTACTTAATAATATTTCAATATTCTGCCAGTAATGAGACGCTAAATTAGTTAATAATACTAATAAAATAGTATAAAGCCAATATTTAGTAAATACTTTCAGGAGGAAAAGATCAAAATGTTTCTGGGAGCTTTAATGCAATGCAAAGGAAAATCAATAGCAAAAAGTATACTAAACAATCTTTTCATCAGCTTGAATTTTAAGATTGTCAATTGATCTGTCTTTTATGTAGCTAGTATTGCAAATTGTAATCTACATTTTCTTTAAAAAATACTCATATCAATAAAAATGAGAAGTACAAGGGATTACAATATTTCATTTTATTTTCTTCTTAAAATTATTTTTACTTCTAAAATAAAATACAAAATTAAGGAAAACAATAATATGGAACAAAAAAAGAATAGATTAAAAAAAAAGTATAGAGAGAAAACTTTCCATCTTTCCACCTGTGTCCCTAATGATTAGCCACAGTTTAAATTTTTATGCTTTACACTGAACATTATGATTGTTGTTGGTTTTCCTCTATGTCCAAGAAATCATATTCCAAATGTCTAAATCTCCCTTGCTATGTGATGTGTTGTAGATCAGGGAGCCATTCCTATTTGAGCCTGGTTACACTTCTACTATGGAAATACACAGTCAGTTTTGCAATTGCAGAATATTCTCTACTTTGGATCTCCTGGTCTGATATTTTTAGCATGGTTTCTTTTTTCAGAAATTGTGTCACATTTGTTGTTGCTGCTTTCAGAAACAGAGAATGCCACTCAAATATTTGTGACATGCCTGTGCAGGGGCCATGATAATCTTCTCCGTGTCTTTCCAATTTTAATATATGTGCTGCCAAACATTTGATGTTCACTTATGATAACATTAGGTCAGACATGTCAAACACAAGGCCCGCCAGCCAGATCTGGCCCATGATTTGGCTAGATCTGGCCCTGGAAATAGCAAAGGACCAGCCTGCGGTGCTTCAGCCTGACCCAGGCCGACTGGACGCTGATCTACAACTTGGTGGCGGTCATCCAGGCCAGAACGCAGTCAGCCTTAGATCCATGGGGCTGCCCTGGAGCCAGCAAGGGGCCACACCAACTCCACCCGCTGGAAGGAAGATGGGAATGAGAAGCAAGGGAGGGAAAGAGGGAGGAAGGAAGGAAGGAAGGAAGGAAGGAAGGAAGGAAGGAAGGAAGGAGAGACAACTTGGTTGGAGATGCCCCAGTGTTCTGCATCAATCCTGGATCCATTGAGATTTGGGCTCAAAGGAGAAAGCAATTTTGTGTTCTATTTAGTCACAGACAGGACTTCGTTGGCAATCCAATTGTGACAGGGGTGGGTTCTACTTACCTTTACAACCGGTTTGCAATGGGAGCGCACGCACTTCTGCGCATGCACAGATCGTCAATTATGACGATCTGTCTGGGCGGGTGGGCAGAGCCTCCCGCCGGTTTTACTACCGGTTCTAAAGAACCAGACAGAACCAGGAGCAACCCACCACTGAATTGTGAGCCCTTAGAAAACTATCCCCTCCTTGTGTGTTGCAAACAGCCATTTCCAGTGGGGAAAAAAGGACAAAGCAGAATGGGGGAAAATATTTTCCTTTGCTGTATTTCCAGTGTGAATTAGACCATGCAAAGTGCCTACAGGAGAGCCCTTTTAAGGATTATATATTGATAGAAAAGCAACTAACTTACCTCTGTTCCTAAATGCTAAAACAGTTGCACATAAAAACCAGAGGAGCTCTAATCAACTATCACAGCCACCATTTTGACAGTTTTTCTGTACTGTTGTCTGTGGATGCCTCCACTAAATGCAAGCATAGGATAAACTGAGCCTGGTTTGTTCTCAATCTTTCAAGTGGCCACAAACTACTAACAAATGTGGCATTGGATTACAAGGCGAGGAGGCATTGAAAAATGTTTGCCGTTTTGCATTTGAGCATCCAAGAAGGGACAGGAAAGGAGAAAAAGAAAAAGAAGGAAAAAGGAGAAGAGAGCAAGAAAGGAAAAAGAAGGAAAGAAGGGAAGGAAGAAGAAAGAGAGGAGAAGGAAGAGGGAAGGAAAAAGAAGAAAAGGGAAAAAAGAAGGAAGGGAGGGAGGGAGGGAGGAGGGAGGGAAAAGGGTAGGGATAGGAGTAAGGGGTGGGGGGGAGGAAAAGAAGGAAGAAAGAGGAGAGTAAAGAAGGAAGAAAGAGGAGAGGGGAAGGAGGAAGGGGGAAGAAGGGAAGAAGAAGGAGGGAGGGAGGGAGGGAGGGAGGGAGGGAGGGAAGGAAGGAAGGAAGGAAGGAAGGAAGGAAGGAAGGAAGGAAGGAAGGAAGGAAGGGAGATTATGAGAAGGAGGGAGAGTCTGAGGGAAGTCCTGCCTTAACACTTGGCCACCTGCTGCCCTTTCGCCATTCCCTTCCCCCTCCTCTCCTCGTGGTTTGCCATCTTATAGCTGAGGATGCTTGGTTACAAAGCCGGATCTCCGTGAGTGGAGAGGGAGTGGGCATCCTTCTGACCCACACACTTTGCCCTCCCATACACACCATGAGCAACCTGGCCAAGGAGAGCGAGCACAGCAGCAGCAGCCTTGAGGAGGAGGTAAGCACAGCAGGGCGCCCCCTTGGAGAAGTGGGGCTGTGCTGTGCTGTGGGGTCCTGGTGCCCGGCTCGCTGCTTGTCCTCCACTGCCCAGGGCTCCGGGCAGCTTGGGCCGCCATGTGGGGGTCTTCCATATAGCCTGAGAGGGATGGCAAGACTCCTCTGGGGGACAAGCGTTTGGTGCTCGCCCTAGTCTTGCCTTCATCCGCTGGAGACAATGGATTCCCCCAGCGCCACCTGGGCCACCACAGGCGCCCTCTGACATGAGCAATGTTGAGTTGGCCATGCCCACCCTGGCCACACCCATCCCAGACACACACGACCCCCCAAGGTCAACCACAACCCTGATGCGGCCCTCAATGAAATTGAGTTTGCCACCCCTGTATTAGATAAATAGGTAATGCTGAAAGACAATGACTAATGCAGAAGCATGTTGTAAGCTTTATGACTGAGCAGAATTTGAATCCAGCTCCCCCCAGTCCAACAGTCTATCTATTACAATGCTCTGCTCTTTCAGGTTCAGTTGTCAGAAGCAGAGAAGCAAAGTCAGGAACTTGCCTCTAACTTGGAACAACAGTTCTGCTTAATTTCTTGCACTGATTAGAGAAATATCACTTTGCCTCAGAAAGAGCCTTGGTAGTACTAGGGTTTAAGGCACCCTGTTATTAAGCTGCTTAAGACCAGCTGCCTGCAATTACTGCAGGGTTCGAATCT